GAACCAAAACAAACCTTCCATTTTTAAAAATAGGGTCTCACTACTGTAGCCCAGGCTGGCCTTGAACTTGTGGGGATCCTCCCTCCTGTCTCACCCTCCCAAGTGCTGGGATTAGCTTTCCTCTTTTTAAAATTGATAGTCTCAAGATTTTGTGCTAGTAGCAGAAGGGTGACTAACACAGATAGGATCACGTCTGAGAGCCCCCCTTGCCCAGAGGTCGTGAGCCACCAGGGAGGGAGGGACAGCGCTCAACCCACCATCAGGAGGGGGCAGTGCAGGCCCAGGCCGGCTACCTGGCCTTCCTTCTGGCAATCCGTACTCCAGTCACTGTCCCCAGCCCCTGTTTTAACAGACTGTCCTTAAGAAAGGTATCCCACCTCCTCAGGCCTCAGTTTACCTCACTGAGCCAATCCAGCATAGTGGTTATGATGAATACCTTTTGCACAGAGATGTACCCAGAGACAGCCTGGGTCCAACCCCAGCTTCCATGTTGTTGCTTTCTGATTGCCTGAATCTGGGTGGGAAATTTCACTTGCTCCAGCCTCAGTTTCTCCTCTTCAAGGCAGAGACAGTCACATCCTTACCTCACGGCTCCTTGTAAGGATGTGGGCCATAGCGTGTAGGCAGGGCCACGAGGCGTGCTGTCTGTCGCCCTTACCCCTATTGCTGCATTAACCTTGAAGAGCCTTGGGGACACACGTGTGCCTGGAGGCAAGGGGCTGGTCCCCAAGTCTGCCCCCAGCTCCCAGCCTGCAGTACTCTCAACTTCAGCAGCAATGATCGACAGGCTGGGCCCGTGGCGTCCTGGCAGGCTTGTCCTGGCAGCTGCTCCCACAAGGCGAGGCCCTGGGAGCTTTGGAGAATTAATTAGGCTGCATTCCTCTTCCTGGGCTCCTGGCGGGCCTGCACATGGCCCCTTCTGAGCTGCCGAGGGCTCTTGGCTCCGATCCCTGGCAGGCCAAGGAAAGGCCTACACTCTGCTCTCCACTGAGTGGGGCTACGGGCTCCCTGTTGGCCAGAAGCCCTGGTCTGGGAAGAGCCAATGGTCAACCAGCAGCTTGAGGCTAGCCCCTGTGCTGGCCCTCCCTTGCACAGCAAATTTCACTAGCTACCATCACTCAAGATCAGTTTCCTGACCCAGTGTGCTATTCCCAGCCTGGCACTGGCTTCTCAGGCCTGCTACCTCTCCCAGGAACCTCATGATCAGTCCCACTGGCATGGCTCCCTCGGCTGTTCAATGCTCCATCTCTCATCCGGGGACATGGAAACCCTACCCACCCTTAACTGCCTACCACTAGCCACCCTGAGCCAGCTCACAGCCTAGCCTACCTGCCGTCTTTTCTCTGTCTGTTTTCCTTGCCAGCCTGGGGGACTCTAAGGACAGGGTGTTGGGACCAGTAATGCAAAGAACTGATAGTAGGGGAATTTCCAGCAGAGTAGGGCAATAGTTGCTGTAGGTGTCTTCTGCCTAGAGCAGCACCCAGGGCAGGTGCCCAGGGCTTACACCGCCCAAGAGATCAGTACCAGCCTGGGCAGCACAGCAAGACCCATCTCTTAAAAAATAAATGTTTGTAGACAGGACAGCTGAGGCTCAGAGAAGTTTGCCACCTTGGTTGTTTCTTCCTCAAGGTCTTCTCACTGTGATTGTCCTCTGGAAGTTAAAGCTAAACTTTAAGTTTTGATTCAGACATAACTAAGCTGTGTGACTTTGAACAAGGTGCTGAACTTCTCTGGGCTGATCTCTTGGGCTGAAGTGATTCTCTTGCCTTAGCCTACCTGTATTAGTGTCAGGGACTACAGTTGTGTACCACCACCCTTGCTTACCACTTACTTCACCTGTAAGATTGGGAACAACTTTAATATTATTGCTATATAAGGTTGCTCTAAAGAGCTGAGTAGATAATAATTGGAAAACATGGAAATCCTTCAATAGATAGGAGCTCTTGGAGCTATCTTTCTATTCAATTGTTTTTGTTTTGTTTGTTTGTTAGTTGTGGTACCAGAGATTGAACTCAGGATCTTGAGCTTGCCAGGCCGGCACTTATGCTGCTGAGCTATATCCCTGGCCCTATTCAACTGTTTTCTTAAATGGTCCGTCTCTTGGCCTGCAAGGGTCTGTCTTCCTCAGAAGCAATTAGTTATCACTGTTGAATGAATGGATGGCCATATTCCAAAAATTCATGGTTTTAATAGGTAAATGATATCTGAACTGACGCTGGACTCTATTAGGAGAAACACACACACACACACACACACACACACACACAGACAGAGACAGAGACAGAGACAGAGACAGAGACAGAGACAGAGAGAGACAGAGAGGCAGGCAGACAGACAGGGAGACAGGGAGACAGACAGGGAGACAGACAGGGAGACAGAGACAGAGAGATAGAATATTCTGGGGGCTCTCTCTGTGGTGGGGGTGTGCAGTGGTGACCAAGAGCCTAGCCCAACTCTGGGGCTAGATGTGCTCCAGGATGCCAGGCCTAGTACCCAGCTTCTTCTGCACATGTAACCTGGATAAATCAGGGTCATTCTCTTCATGTCTGTCTCTATCTGGGACTCCAATGGAAGGGACAAGAACTTGACTCAGAGAGCCTCAGAAGGAACTCAAGTACTGACTGAAAAGCTGTGAAGAGGAGAGATGCTTGCTGTACATAACCCATGCTTTCTACCCAGGGCTGCACTGTGCCAGGCGATAGTTCCTCCCACTATTTTCTCTGCTTGCTCCTGGACTCTGGTTCCCTTGCCCCACTGTCACTTGCTGCCACGTCCCCGCTGCCTGGAATGTGTTCTAGAAGCAGCCATAGGCTCTGGACACACTCGACCCTTGACCCTGCAAATTGTCCTGCAAACAGAGGTGGGGCTGGAGAGGCCGGAGCAGGAAGCTTGCAGTGCAGTCCCTGTTCCCCAGGACTGAAGACCTAGGGCCTTGGGTGTCCCCCATGCCTGACCTGCCTCCTCTCTTCCCTGTAATTGTCACCCTACTCAGGTACTTAGGCTACCAACCTCTGAACCTTGAATAGACTGTGGAGCCTGTGCCAAGATTCATGAGCACCTGCCTCCCTGGGCCTCCTACACACTCTCACCAGGACTCTCACAACTGGGCCAAGCCTCCTGCCAGCTATGGCCCTGGGGCTGCCATACCAGGCCATGGGCTGGCTGCTTTTGAGTTTCCAAGGAGAAGGGTCCACTTTGAATGGGACATTTTGATGCCAGGGAGTGACATCTCCTCCCATCACGAGACAGCTGGAATGTGAGAGTGTGCTTTGGTCCTGGGCTGGGGTTGACAGGAAAGGGCTGGCCCAGCCCCACTGCAGCAGTCCAGTGTGGGCTGTGACTTTGTTTCCCTGGTACTTGATTCTTCATCCACTCTTAGTCCACTCTGAGTGCTCAGACCGTATTTCCAGGAAGACACTTGTGCTGCTGAGCTATCTCTCCAGCCCCTCAGACCATATTTCTGGAGCCCGGCTTTGACCTAGTCCCTAGCTGCTCTCAGACCGTCCATGACTCCCTGCGACCTACAAGAGAAAGCCCAGCTGCTTAACCTTTGAGGCTTCTCTGGCCCCATTCCCTACTATTCTAGCTTCTACTTTGGCCACATGAGCCTCCTCCAGAGGCTCTTCTCTTTTCTCTTTTCTTAGTTGAGCCTTCTCATGTTTTGGGGTGGTGAGAGTGCCACCTTCGTGCAGGGCCCTTTCTCCAGTCCAGCAAGCCTGCCTGTCCCACCCTGCAGGTCCCTTGGCTCTGTCCCTGTCCTGTGTGTTACATAAGCACCCTGGCAGCCTGACAGGAAGCCTCTGCATCTTTTCTGCTCAGCCTGACGCTACAACTTACCTGCTCAGTGATTGCCCCCACCCTTGAGTTGCTACTCATTTTCTAGCTGAAAGAAACTGAGGCTCAGAAGAGGAGATTTGCTCATGAGCAAGTTGTAGCAATGATCTATGAATTTGATCAGTGAATATGCTGCAGATTTTGGAGTCAGGAGAGGGGGGTCCCAAGGCTGACCCCATCACCTCCTTGCTGGGTAGCCTGAGGGAGAGCACTTGCCTCCTCTGTGCACCACTTTCCTCACGTGTAAAATGAGGATAATAAAATAACCTGTGTCCCAGGACTCCTGTGAGGATAAAATGAGCTAACCTGAGACAGACAGAGAGACACTCAGTGTGCCAGTGTACAGTAGGAGCTCTGCAAATGCTAACATACCATTCTTTCAGGACTAGTTTTATGGACAAAGAAGGGTAAGAGATGTATATAAATAAGTATCAGTCAGTCCATAAATATTTCCCAAGCACTGGCGCAAGTCATGGCTTGCTACTTCAGGCCAGTCCAGCCATGGGAAAAGGGCACGGCCTGTTCACAGGTGTTGCTTGGGCTGTGGATCTGGCAGCTGCTGTCCGAAACGGCTGCAAGTTGTCCCTGGAACCCAGATGAGCTGTGTCTTGGGCTCTAGCAGGACTCCCGAGGAGCGCCCTGGGCTTCTGGAATCTGAGAGGAGTCGCACTCCAGCAGGGCCCAGCCCAAGGCAAAGGCAGCTCCAGACCTCATGCAGCCTTGGGCCCGCGTGGTCTCTTCCCCATCCCAGTGGATTCACTCAGGGCCTTCCAGTCAGTGCTAGTGGAGGTCGGGGCAGCTGAACACAGTGCTCTCCATACTCTCAAAGTCTCAGCTTTTTCCAGGGTGCTTTTGGGGGAAGGAATGGCCTCAGTGTCTAGCCTGGTGGGAGCACTGGTCCCAGAATCCCAATGTCACAGTTGCAAATGGCTGCATAAGCACATAGTAGGCAAAAGCCTTGGGAGGGCAGGTTAGCAGCCACAGAAGCTCCACAAGGGCAAAGTGGAAGGCGGGACTCTAGCCACCAGCTCTGGGCCCTGGCCTCCCATTCCTGTGTCCTTCTAACTTTCTGGTGGCCCTTTCCTGAGAGGAGCCTCCCACCTCTGTCTGGCCCAGGAAAAATACCAGAATCATACTTCTCTGTTTATTACAAACACATGCTCAGGTAAATAATTGAAGATCTAAAAAAATACATTAAAATAAATAAATGAGATTCTCAAAGTCCTTAGCACAAATAAGTTATATACAGATGTTTGAAGCAGAACAAGTTCTTCTCACCAGCAAGGTCCCAAGGGCAGGAGGGCCCAAGAAAGGGAAGGGACAGCAGAGAGGGCAGATGGGGACCAGCCAGGCCGCCGGGGGATGTCCAGCCCCCAGGACTGGCTAACAAGTGAGTGCGCCCTGCCATGTGCTGGCTCCTGCCCTGTAGTCCCGCAGACCAGACGGTCCTCAGGACTGGGCCTCCAAGCTCACCACTACTCCACGTAGTTCCTTTTGGCAGGGCTGTGGCCAGTAGCCAGCACCAGGGGCTGCCCTGCCACCTGGGAGCTGGGGGCTCTCCTGGGCAGTGTGGTGGCATGGAGCTGCCTTGAGCAACACTCCCTTCACTAGGATTGGAGGCTGGAGCACACACTAGGCCCAGCACACGGGTCCGGGTGGCTAGGCCGGGAGACACGCAGAGGGTCTCCTTCATTGCAAGGCAGGTGGGCTTCCTTCTCAATACTCCTGCGGCTCAGGGTGCTATCTTTTTCTCCACCTGGAGTGTGCAGGCCTGGACTCCCTTGTTGCTGCCTGCTGTCGTCTAGCAAAGTGGACTCTGGTGGCAAAAATGTCCCTGGAGATGGAAAAGGGTCAACTTAGCACCTTGGAAATTGCAGACAGTTCAAGAGGTCTCATGGGAGGATGGGGTGATGGGAACTAGGGCTGTCCTAGGCCAGACAGAGGCTGCAGCCTGAAAGTAAGGTCTGCCTGTCAGAGCAGACCAGCTCAGGCCTAGAAGCTGCCCAGAGGGGCTCTGAGAAGAAAGTTAATATTTAAGGCCAAAAGCTGCCAGAATGACTGGCTGGCCAAAACAGCCCAGGTGGCCCACATCAGCTGCCCTTCCGCGTCGCACCTTGCGTACATGTCCAGGGCCCCCTAAGCAGACTACACCTAGTTACAACTGCTCTGAGATTCTTTCTCAGGTTGTGAAGTACAAAATAGGCCTAAACTGCAGTCAGACAAACACATGGTCGGCAAAGCTGACTGTGCTTTCTGAGGTGCTAGGCGCCTGCAGTTAGCCTGGCTTCTTTTCTCCTCAGAAGTTCTTTGAGTGCACCTGGGCTGAGCCCTGCCTGTTCCACCATCCTGCCCTTTCTGTTCTTCCTCCTCCCAAAGCGAGGAGCCCCTGAGTAGGGCCCCATCACTGTCTGGCCCTAAGGAGCCCTGGATATAGCGGCAGAATGGCCAAGACCGCTGGCGCTCTCAGGGCCAGGACCTGCTTAACACACTTCAAGGACTTCAGCATGTCTCATGTCACAACGACCTTGTGAGACTGCTACTGCTGTTCCTCTATTTCAGAATAGGGACCTGAAGCACAGCTAGGAGTCACAAGGCACATCTGCAGCGGGACTGGGCTCAAGTCTTTGCTCCCAAAGCTGCTTCCAGCCACACTGTGAGGCTGTCAGGCTGGGGCGTCTATTCTTCTTCTTTTTTTTCTTAATATATTTAGTACAGGGTCTACAGGGTCTCACTACACAGATTGGACTTGTGATTCTCCTGTTTTCAGTCTCCCAAGTGCTGGGATTACAGGTGTGCACCACCATGCCCAGTCTCATTTGTCATCTCAGCTTGCCTTGGGAATAGGGCCGATATAGCACGCTGGTGATTGAACCCCAGTCCCTGTGTCTGCCTAAGCAGGCGCTTTAATCCACTGAGCTACTAGGCTGGCTCTTGGGGCTTCTATTCTTAAGCGTGGGTAGACAAACATCTGTAGCCTGTCTGGCAATAAGCCTTGAGATGAACTGTACCACAGCCACCAGCGAGCGTTTCCAGTCTGGGTGCTGAGGAGGGAGCAGGACAGGCAGTTGGTCCCTGTGAACCCTAGCTCATGGGAGATGCTCAACTCAGCTGAGCCTGAGTGAACAGTTGTGATCCTGCCCTCAAGCCTTCAAAAACAGCACACAAACAAGCCCAGAGTTAGTAAGAACAAAGCAGTTAAAAGCATAGACCCTGGGGTCAGTCAGATGCCATTAATGTTGCGTGACTTTGGGCAAGAGGCTTTGCTTCTCTGAGCCTCCGTTTTCTTGGAAGGACAGTGAAGACTGAGTCTGGTTTTACATGGTGAACAAGGCAGATGTGCAAGGTGTACAGAAAATGCCCAATCAATGCAGGTGCCTCTCACCTCAGCCTCTGGAGGAGCGCACCATCTGTGGCCCAGGTCTTGCCAGTCTGTAACATGGCTGCGGGCGGCTCGTTGCTTGGGACTGTCACAGCTTCAGCCCTGAATAAATGGCAATAGGGCCCAAGTAAGGGGTTGTCCAGGGCCCTGAAGCCACCTGGCTGTTGGCCCAGCCCAGTCCCTACTCTACCCCACCCGCCCTTGGGAGCAGATCCATTTTCACCCTCTGCACCTGGCATCCTTCCTTTCCCTGGGCAGGGTGGGGACTGAGGAAAACTGAGCTACTGGGAATGTGTTCTTAGCCTCTAAAAGAGGCAGCTGGGTGGCTGGTCTTCCCAGAATCCACACAGCTGCAGCTGCAAGGGAAACTGAGGCAAGAGCGAAGCCATGGCTTGAGGCCCGGGGAGGGAGTTTCTCGTAAATGAGGGTGGGAACTGGAGCTTGGGATTTGGGAAACCAGATCCAGCTTTCACACTGAGTCTGAATAAAGGAGGGAAGAAACAGAATCTCTATCCCTTTCACAGAGGGGAAATCAAGGCCCAGGAAGGTGAGACCTGGTGAAGCTCCGCTCCCCTCACCCCAGCGTGGGGTCACAGCTTTCCGATTCCACCAGTGATTTTTCCTTTGAGTGAGCTCTAAAGTTCCCAAGTATCAGGTTGGAATCCAAAGCCCAATGGGAACCAGACAGTAGTCCTATCCTCTCCCTGGGCCTGAGCTGCCCAACTATTACCTCAGGAGCATCCATCTTGCCCAGGAATGAGGCCATGAATGCTCCTAGAGGTCCCAGTGTTGGCAGAGGGAGGCACTCAGCGGTGACGATCCCCTTAGGCAGGAACTCTGCTGATGTTCTAGAGCCACCTGTGGGCCTCAGGATCCTGCTCGCTCCCAGACACACCACTGCCAGGATGGGCTCAGCCCTGTGGCCCTGCCTACCCTGCAAGCTTGGTGTCCACCTACCAGGGTCTTCGATGGCAGAAGGTGGCACAGACAGGATCTCTGGAGCTGGAGCACTCGCAGCGCTTTGGCAGGGAGCGGCGCCGGCGTCTTGGCGGGTTTCCCAGGCCGTAAGGAGCTGTCTGTCTGTGGGCGGGCAGCCAACAAGGTAGTGGTGTGGGGTGGCAGAGAGAGAGAGAGAGAGAGAGAGAGAGAGAGAGAGAGAGA